TTTTTGGACAAGGTTACGCTCAGGCCATGTCCAAAATTCATCCCTAAGGTAATCTCTCCATTTCAGATGAATCAATTGATTCACCTTGCAATCTTCTACCCCAAGCCTCACCAAGACAACAAGAGGGCTACACTTCATACCCTAGATGTCAGGAGAGCCCTGGCCTTCTACCTTGATGAGACAAGGGTCTTCGGGAATTCCCCTCAACTTTTCCTCTCCATTGCAGAAAGATCCAAGGGCTCAGCAATGTCAATCCGAAAGCTCTCTAAGTGGGTCTCGAATTGCATTTGACGGTGTTACCAAATTCGCAGTATGACTCCTTGAGGCTCGATTCGTACAAACTGCACAAGATCGATCTTGTCATGAGTGTCGCCTTTTTCAAGAATGTCCCTATCTCAGAGATCTGTAGAGCAATGACATGGGCCTCAGTCCACACTTTTGTAGAACACTGTGATCACTGGGGACTCTGCCTCTGATGCCATCTTTGGCTCCACAGAACTGTCATCAGTAACTGACCCAACTCCAACGTCCCAGCCCTCCTGAAGGGGGTACTGCTTGGGAGTCACCTACAGTGGAGCACCCATAGGACACTGCTTGAAGAAAAAGAAGTTACTCACCTTGTGCAGTAATGATGGTTCTTCGAGATGTGTGTCCCTATGGGTGTTCCACAACCCACCCTCCTCCCTCTACTTCAGAGTTCTTGTCAATGATTCTATAGTAGAGAGGGAACTGAGAGGGGTTAGCCCACGGGCACTGACTAGCCTCGTGGTGTAGCACAAGGAGAAACAGTGCATATGCTGGCCTAACAGACTCTGCTACTGAAGGTCTCCGATCAGCAGCCCAGGGACACAAGCACACCAATGGTGGAGCACCCATAAGGACACACATCTCAAAGAACCATTGTTATTGCATAAGTTGAGTAACTTCTCCTTTTTCAGACATGCTCAGCAGCCACAATTCCTACTGAAGTTCCTCCTTCCTCAGACTTTCACTCTGTTTCTCACATCTTTGTTTCTTGCTCTTCCCTATACTCCTTAACATGCTCTTCCTTCCATTACTGCTTTAGAAGAAAGTATTCCATTAATCTTTCCCGCTTCTCACCCCAACTCATCACCCTCCCCTCCCCTTCCCCAAATGACACCAGTCACACACGCTCCCACAGTAGTGACCGACAGGTTCTTCTTGCTGGTTGGAATGCTAAGAAAAGGACATTGGGGTTGGAGAGCAACCTGCAGCAGAGTAACACAGGAAACAATTCTAGCAGGCCACTACAGGATTTGCTGAACTAGACTGTAAGATATATTTCCCTCTCTTCTGCCAAAGACCCATTTTTGCAGGGAGGGGAGAGGATGGAATGGCCTTGGTGTCCATGCTGAAAAATGACTGGCTGCCAGGCAACTCCTTCTGAGCCTGGAAATGGGAGAAACTATTTTTCCTGAATCAGATACATTACTGCTAACACCTTTGGTCAATATGTGTAGACTATACGGGCACAATACTGCAAATTCTTGCTCAGGCAAGTAGTCCTTATTCACCTGAGAAGTTTAATTTTAACAGTCCAGTTCAAATTCCTAGTCTAACCTATAAGGGCATGAATGGGCTGAGGCTTGTCTTTCTTAGGCTCTGACCCAGGAAAACACTTAAGCGTGTGCGTAAAGTTAAGCATTTACGTAAGCATCTTTTCTGATCAGGAATGCTTTCCTGAATTACCATACCTCTTTTCACAGGCCTTTTCATAGTAAGAGGCATGGAATTCATTACAAGATCCATTGCATACAAAATTTAAATCCTCATAAGCAGTGGTGGCTAAATATAGCACTAAATAGTATAATTCTTTTTGATCAAGATAGATACAAGCCTTAATTGTATATGACCACCTAGATACCATTGTGATTATGTGCTTGACTGAGTTCAGTAAGGATGGTCTAGAGGTTAGAGTGCTAGACTGCAATTTACAAGACCTGGGTTTAATTCCCTGCTCCACCATTGTCTCCTTGTGTGACCTTGGGATGTCACTTAGTCTCTCTGTAACTCAGTTCCCCATTGAAATATGGAGATTGCAATGTGATTCACTTCTATCAATGTAACTTTTAAGAGGTAGACATATACTATGTCTTTAAAAACATCAGTTTTGGCCAACGTTTTAAAACTTAATCTCTCAAACAAGAATGTGTCCCTTAATGTTGTACTTCATTTTCTTATCTGAGGAAATATCTCTTTTGACCGTGCTGAATTCAAATAAAAATTAATGCCATCAGCATTTATCTGTATTTTTTAAAAATAATGATTTTAGAACATATTCATCTGCTACATATACATTTTTTGAGCTAGTAGATTCATAGACTCTAGGACTGGAAGGGATCTAGAGAGGTCATCCAGTCCGGTCCCCTGCCCTCATGGCAGTATCAAATACTGTCTAGATCATCCCTGATAGACATTTATCTAACCTAGTCTTAAATATCTCCAGAGATGGAGATTCCACAACCTCCCTAGGCAGTTTATTCCAATGTTTAACCACCCTGACTGTTAGGAACTTTTTCCTAATGTCCAACCTAAACCTCCCTTGCTGCAGTTTAAGCCCATTGCTTCTTGCTCTATCCTTAGAGGCTAAGATGAACAAGTTTTCTGCCACCTCCTTATGATACCCTTTTAGATACCTGAAAACTGCTATCATGTCCCCTCTCAGTCTTCTCTTTTCCAAACTAAACAAACCCAATTCTTTCAGCCTTCCTTCATAGGTCATATTCTCTAGACCTTTAATCTACCTTTTAAATAGTACTACTAATAATAATACCTTTTAAAACCTTTTAAACTATCTGAAACTACTTAAGAACATAAGAACAGCCATAGTGGGTCAGACCAATAGTCCATCTTGCCCAGTATCCTGTCTTCTGATAGTAGCCAATGCCAGGTGCTTCAGAGGGAATGAACAGAACAGGCAATCATCAAGTGATTCATCCCCTGTTGCCCATTCCCAGCTTCTGGCAAACAGAGGCTAGGGACACCATCCCTGCCCATCCTAGCTAATAGCCATTGATGGAACTATCCTCCATGAACTTATCTAGTTCTTTTTTGAACCCTGTTATAGTCTTGGCCTTCACAACATCCTCTGGCAAGGAGTTCCATAGGTTGACTGTGTGTTATGTGAAAAAATATTTCCTTTTGTTTGTTTTAAACCTACTGTCTATTAATTTAATTTGGTGACCTCTAGTTCTTCTGTTATGAGAAGGAGTAAACAACACTTACTTATTTAGTTTCTCCACGCCAGCCATGATTTTATAGACCTTTATCATATCCTCCCTTAGTCATCATCAAACATCCACTCAATGTGCAGCGGCAGTCAAAAAAGCGAACAGAACGTTGGGAATCATTAAGAAAGAGATAGATAGATAAGACAGAATATATCATATTGCCTCTATATAAATGATTGCAGAATATTTTTTCTTTCATCAGGGAAAATGCCTATCTTATTCTAATAACCTTACTTCACAATAGTCCCAATGAAATTCCTCATTGAGCTAGGTAATATTCAGTGTGACTTAAGCATGGCAGAATTGAACCCTTTGTCTTTATGTGGTGCTACATAAAGCCCTTATATGGCTCTCCTTGCACTACATTATCTGAGTTCTTCACATTAGGTAGAAGAGACCAATGTGTGTGTGTGTGTGTGTGTCTGAACCTTCCCTGTCACTAAGAAGCAGGTTTATGGATTTTGGATTGTTTTAAAAAATGTATCTGTGAGAATAAAAGGGACTATTGTGTAGGCAAATTGGGTTGGGGGAAGGGTAGTTGAGTTCTGCATTTAGCTCCAAATATAGTGAGGTTAGTAATCATTCATTTCTTCCTGTGAAGGTTCTATCACCTGTGGTCACAAGCCTACCCTTATTGATTGACTCTTCTGTTGCTCTAATGGAATGCTGCTATCATGGGAGGTTGTGGGAGGGAGAGGTGATCCTAGGTAGCCCGGCCGATTCCATGCCAGCCTTTGAAACTGAAACGTAAGGAGTAGTTCACCTCTCTCAAAGCAATTGTTTCACAATCTCTGTAAACTCAGGAAGACAGCACTGGATCAGTTACATTCAGTTCATGTTTTCAAGGGTTCTTCATAAGCATAAGGACTAGAAAGGCAAAAATGAAAGTGTAGATTCAGGAGCATACTTTTTGGCAAGAATTGGATTGCGTGGTCATGGAATCACAGAGTATATGGGGCTCTGCTCCTATGTAAGCCCCTCCATTCTGTTTATCATCTTCACACTACTCTGCCCAGTTTAACTATATCTTTGTTCATACAAAGTGACTAAAACTAAACTGGGACTTTATTCCAAATGTGGTTTTACTAAAGCATTATAAAATGATATAATTGATTCTGAACAGGAGTGTATTAATGTTTAATACAGGTTAACATTCTATCAGCCTTTCTTACTGCTGTTTCATACCAATCCTCTTATAGCAAAGTCATTATTCTCACAAAACAGTATCATCCTGAGCATAAATTTACTTAATCTGAAATAATAATTTATACATTTCAGTTGGATAAATTGGGACTTTCATTAGACTTTGCTATGGTTCAAATCCTTTCCCCATTGCCCAGCCTGAGTAACTGGGCTGGATGCTGTGGAGAGGTAGGGGAAATATTTTTCTCCCACATACCAGTCAGTAGAACAGGAACAGAGTTACTCCACAGCTGCTGTAGCATAATGGTCTGAGTAGCCTCCATGGAGAGAGGAAAAAGACTGGAGGCTCTGTGTAGCTACACTAGGAGTCACCACAGATATATGTGGGCTCCTGGCTTTTCCTCACTCTCTGTCTACTGAAACAGCAATGATTCCACTGCGCTGAAGGTGCTCTGCACTTGCAGAAGAGTGGGGAGGATTTTTGCTTATTAATGGAATTACACTGTATCCAAACTCACTTTATTTGGTTCCTTGATTAGATTACAAACTTTTTCACTTTTGGTTTATTTGAATAGCAAACATATTGCAACATTTGATATGTTTCAGGCTGGATCTTGTTCCAATCAATAGATCAGTTGGTTTGAAGGCTAAACCCACTAAGCCAGTAACAGAAGTTCTACGGCCTGTGGTTGCAAAATATGGCTTAAATCTTAATGAACTTGTGGCAAAACTGGTAAGTATCTTCTGGTGTAAAACAGGGGTGGGCGAACTGTGGCTTGAGGGCCGCATCCGGCCCTCCAGACATTTTAATCCAGCTCTCGAGCTCCCACCGGGGAGTGGGGTTGGGGGCTTGCCCCGCTCTGCGCGGCTCCCGGAAGCAGCAGCATGTCCCCCCTCCGGCTCCTATGTGTAGGGGCAGTCAGGGGGCTCCACACACTGTCCCGCCCCAAGTGCGGCCCCCGCAGCTCCTATTGCCCAGGAACCACAGCCAATGGGAGCTGCAGGGGCGGCGCCTGCGGACAGGGCAACGTGCAGAGCTGCCTGGCTGTGCCTCTGCGTAGGAGCTGGAGGGGGGACATGTCGCTGCTTCTGGGAGCTGCTTGAGATAAGCGCCGCCCAGAGCCTGCATCCCTGGCCCCCTCCGACATCCCAACCCCCAATTTTGTGAGCATTCATGGCTTGCCATTCAATTTCCATACCCAGATGCAGCCCTTGGGCTAAAAAGTTTGCCCACCCCTGGTGTAAAATCTGTAGTATTGCTTGTCTGGAAAAGAGTATAGAGTATTCCAAGAAATTTAGTATAGGCTCATCTTTATGCATGAAAATTTATTCTATAACTGCCTGTGTTTTGGGATGAGAATATGCAGTAGTAATAGTCTTCATTCTTCAGATAGTTTGACTATGGCTTTGTCTGGGCCTGCTTTGTCTTGGCCTTCTGAGCCCCTCATTCCTGCTCCCTTTTCAGAGGCTTCATTTCAGACCAAAACATCCCAACTGAGAAAGGCTGAACATAAGCCTCTTCCATAGTCCATTCTTTCCATTCCTCTGTCAGCCAGAGGGTGTCATTTGAGAGCAATTAAAACTTGTCCCTGCTAACCTGGAAAGCACAGAAATCCGCTCCAGACTGTTGACAGCATATAGGTCTACCATTGGGTTGTCAGACTGGCCAATCCATAATACACTGCAGACAAATGACTCGTGTCCATAATGATCAAAGTAATTATGGACAGTATTGGTCTGAAAATTATAGGGAAGATAGCAGAGGATTCTTGGGGGTACACTGAAGTATAACTGTACTAGCTAGTGTTCGATTTTAAATACCAAGTTGTACATTCAAGTTGTTTTGAAAACCATTGTTTTTCTCTATTATACACAAACTGTGATCTAACTTCAGAATGGTGAGCAGGAACCACTAGATCTTGGTGTCCCTATATCTAATCTGGATGGTCAACGAGTTGTATTATATGAAAAAGAGCCAACAAAGGGAAGAGGTAAGAGGTTCTGAAAGATTTTATGAAGTGCTTAACGAGCCTCATCGAGCCTGACTTTACATTCATAGAAAAAATAAATTTACGTGAGGTAAATGGTGTTAGGATGAAGGATTTGATTTATAGGATAGAATGGGAAAACTTTTTATAGGAATTAAAGTTAAATGTGTGACTTTTCATCTGTTAAATTGGCCGGTTTTTGACGATCACAATGTGCTCTTGTAGCAAAGTTTATAACTCTTAAAAAATATTTTTTCTCCCTAGTACCCTACAAGCACTTAGTTCATTAGAGAATTAAGTTCTCTATTTTACCACAGGACAGGTACAGCTTAGGATATCAGCTACAACTGCTGGAGAGATGGATTGTGTAAGGTGAGAAGATAGTGCAGCCTCCATCTCTATGCAATCCTTGGGCTCTGCAGAGACTGACAAAAAGAGTGCCAGTTATGGTTTTTGAGGTGGTGGATCTCTGTGAAATAGAAGCTGAACTAAGACTTACTTCACTTCAAATTGGCCAGAGAACAGCAGTTAGATAATTATTTTTTGTCATTACTGACATTCACTGGATTCAGCTCAGGGGTCTGGAGATTAAAGGTTCCATGTGTCATTAGTATCTCCCTTTATAGGTAAAAAACATGTGATTTTGTTAATGCATTTAGATTAGATTAAATTAAATGTTTAGAATGGTGGATCTCGTAGGGGAAATGAGTAAAATAAAGAGAGCTGTATTTGGCGGTGGGGAAGGGGAGTCAGATTTTATCACTTTGTTGGGGACCAGAGTCACAGACCACAAACTGTAATTTACCTTAAAACTTTTATAATCCTATTGGTAGTGTTATATAGGAACTAGGCACAAATGAGCCACTTCTTTCTACACCGCCAGGTTATTTTGGGCATTAAACATGTGTAAATCATCAGAGAATCACCCCAGTAGAAAGATGATCCTAGAGCATCATAGAATCAACATAGGCATTCTTATGCCACAGATGCTTCCTGATACACCGGGGGAAAGATGCTTTGTCAGGATGAACCTACACCAAGCAGATCCTGAGCTGTTTTTTGCCCTTTGTGTCTGTTGCAGGCAGATATAAATTAAAGCAGCCCTGAGCTTACTTTAAGAGTGTATGGAGAGAAAATGGAGATGCCCAAAGGGCAGTTGATGCACAAAGCAGATCTGAAAGTTTTTGGGGTTTCTTAATGGATTTTTCTGCATCTGGTGTTTTTAAAAAAAGACTCCGTTTTCATCTAAACTGAACCCTGTGGCTGCAGATCTAGTGAAATTATGCCATCACAAAAGTCAAGAAAATTGAAAGCTTAGCAACGGAGAGGGAGAGAGATTTTTGCTCACTCATTGCTTTTCATTTATTTTATTACCAGCTATTGTACTCAATGACTTATGAATATTGTGGAGAAAGGATGTCTTCCTTTTAGCTTTTTGACTCCTGCTGCGTCTTTTCGTAAAGATGTAAAAACTCATAACACACATGCTTTGAAAGCATCAGAAAATCCAGGAAAGCCTAGGTTGTTTTCTGCTTGATTTAACTTAAAAATATTGGGGATGTCAAGTTTGATCTTCCTTGGTTTTGCTAGAGCTTCTTCCAGGGGGCCTCATAGGCAGGGTATTTTATGTGTCGTCATGTTTTAAATGTTAATATTATGCTGAAGTGATATGTTTATAATTATAGAAGACATTTTTATGTTTAGTGTTCACAGACAGACAAAAAGGCGCCCCAGTAAAACAAAGTACAGTTGTAACCTCCACTTCAAGAAATCAAGCATCTACAGTAAGTTTTTTTTTTAAATGATTTCTGCCACTCAGATTACCTTCTATTTTCTTCTCTCATCATAAAGTAGAAGCTTCAGGTATCTATGCTAAAAACATTGTCCAGCTTATCTAATTGAATTGGCTGCAGCTATAAATCATCCTATTCTTTCTGTCAGACTTCATCTGTGGGGATTTAATCCTGCTTTTTCACCAGTGTGTGACCATGAATTGAGTAGCAGTGAGTGTTTTATGGTTTTATATTTTTGGCTTTCTATATCAGCTGAGTGGATCATCTTTATCAAAATCCATTAACTTCCTTTGAAAGCCAAGGCAAGTACTTGAGCCTACTACTTTAATGTAAATTTTGCTGTGCAAGCAATGTGCTCATTGTAAATGGAATTTTTTTCTTTTTTGGTGTGTAGTGTTAAATTTTTTTGTCATGATTAAGCTATAACATTTGTTGTATTTTTTAATCAGAGAGATCTGTTTATAAAATATCCTTTTTATTCACTTAGAATCTATTACACACATATTGTGGTATATCCTAATTGTAAGAAGTACTTTAACTTTCCTTCTAATGCAGGGAGAGGGAAGAACTCTAGGAAAGTCTAATTCTATTAAAATAAAAGGCGAAAATGGAAAAAATGCTAGGGATGCTCGGCTATCAAAGAGAGAAGAATCTCTTGCAAAGATTGGGGGAAAAAAATATCAGAAAATTAATTTGGACGAAGCAGAGGGTATGTCAACTTTTTAAGTATATGTAATAACATTAGTGTTCAAGGGAAAATGATCATTCCAATTTATGACTGTGGAAATCATAAGGACTGTGCATTTATCACTGTATGAAGAAAATAATAGGCAAGTTCCTTATATGCTTGTTGCTGTTAACTTTGAATTGCTAATTTATTGAAGTCTAGGATAAAAATTTTAAACATGCCTGCAGGTACTTAAAGGTATTTAGGCATCTTAAGATGAGATAGGTGCCTACCGGGATTTTCAAAAGGGCTGAGATTACTAACTCCCAGAGAAATCAATGGGTGTTAGATGCCTAAAAACTTTTGAAAAGCACACTAGATGTCTGCCTGCATCTTTAGGTGCCTAAACAACTTTTATAATTTGGCCTTAGATGCCCTTTTCAAAAGTCTCATGGGCTCCTAAGGACCTAAGTCACTTTTGAAAGGGAGACTTAGGCTCCTAAATCACTTAGGCATTTTTAACAATTTTACCCATAGTCTATGATAGCCAGATTACCACTGCTTGAAAAAGGGTGGTGGTGGTTGTGTGGGGTGGTGGGCAAGAACAGAAAGAGATTACTTTTCATTCAGTAAATGTTCTGAAAAGGTGACTAGAAATGGTACAAGAGACAAGGCTGTGCCATAACTGGTCATTTTGCATTTTCTGAGCCAAAATCTTCCCTAAATTACATCTTTGAGAGACAATAACTTCATGAGGATTTCACTGATGACAGCAGAATTTGCCTTTCCATGTATGTTTTCTGGTATGAAAAAATGAGAGATAATAAAGGTCACAGAGAGGTGAAGGAATAAGATCATTTTAAGGGTTGATATCTTTAGATATTACTCCCCCATCCTCAACCTCAAGGATTATTTGAAACAGTTGCCTATCCCACTAGCTCCAAAATAAAATGTGAAAATCAGAACACATATGCTAGCTAGGGCAAAAATTTAAAATGCATCATTATTACCACCTGATGTAGGGTGACCAGATAGTAACTGTGAAAAAACGGGACAGGGGGTGGGAGGTAATAGGCGCCTATATAAGAAAAAGTCCCCAAAAACGGGACTGTCCCTTTAAAAATGGGACATCTGGTCACCCTAACCTGATGTTCAAACAAAGGGCCTGATCCTGCAAAGAGCTGCACGTGAATGACTTTATATAAGTGAATAATTGTCTGTAGGTTTGGACACAAGGAAGTACCGTAGCTGAAACCCTTGTTGTGAATGGCTGTTTGTTAGTTTCTGAATGTTGCTGCAAAACATGTTAATGTAGTTTTGAATGATTTATTTCTGTTTGCTACTTGAGTAGCTTGTTTTACCCAGTCTTATAAATTCACTTTCTGATTGAGGCCAAGTGAAATATTAACATAATTTGAAGACCTCAGAATTTGAGGCTTTCATATTTTGTTTTGATTTTGTGAAATTGATCCAAGTTTGGGAAAGACCTATTGAATGTTGTAGAGTATTTTTTAATGAAAAATCTTTATGCAATTTGAAATTTCAGGAAGAATCAGCTTTTGCCTAAAACACACACATTTCAAAAATGTTTTATGTTTTGATGTGCATACTCCATTTTGCAAAACTTTGGCAAAAGTTATATTTTGGGGCTACAAAATGCCCCAGATTCAAACTCCATATATTTTCTAACATTTTGCAAATCTATTGAAAATTATTTTCACACAACACTCCTACTGATTCTGCCAAATCACCCAAAAGTAATGTTAGAAAATTGTAAGTAAAGTAAGTTCTAGGAGTGTAACATATGACTTTATATTATGTCAAAAAAACATTGTTGCTAAAACTAAATGTTTTGGTTTTGCAATGAAATTTTTTGATTTTTTTGATTTAGACAATTAGTGTAAACTGGGTTGAAACCACAAAACTGATTTCACTTGGGACCTAAAATGAATTTGAACTTTAATCTCCAGAAATGTAAAGGTAGCAGTAGCTCCTGGAGCTTAATCCAGGGTGTAATCCTGCCCTTCTTCCTGAGTAAGGGGACATGAGTAGGTCCCATGTTAGCAATTTTGAAATTTGGATGATTGGTACCAAAGAGTTAAGTTATCATTGGGTTATTTCTTTTTTGGGAGCAGTATCCTTCTTGGCTCAAGGTCTAAAATTTCTGGTTGCTAAGTTTTGAGGCTTTCCAGAACAAAATAACGAATTGTCCTAAATCACAAAACAACATTATGATAAAAATAAGATTTTGTCTTAAATCTATCTCCATCAAAGAGATTCAAAGTTTTGGCTAAAAGTTCCAGATTGACATATTATTATTAAACAAAAAAAAAGGCTTGTAAAAGGATTGTTTACATTATGGACCAATAAGCTTTCAGAGAGCTGACTATTTTTAAATTGAGGTGTGCAAAGAAGCATCTAGAGTATACAAATGTGCATCCTAATCCTACAATCTGTTAAATTTCAGTAGGACCAGAGCTTTGTTATGTAATAGGAATTAAAAACACGTAAAGGTTCATTTTAATGCATAAAATAGAAAATATGTTTAGGACGCAGACTTGGTATGCAGAATTTTAGCCCAGAGTGAAATGCAGCTGTTCTAAATTGCAAAACTGCTTACAATAGCAATCTTGATTATCTTAATTATAATGCTGCTAGTGAACATTGCTGCAATTGAAAATGTTCCTAATTAACATAAGATCTCATTTCAAGGCAGCATTGAAAATAACTGAAGGTCTTCATTGAGAATAAATATGCTAATGGTTGACATTTTAATGGATTTCATTTTCTGACAAAAGTTTGTCAATTTTTGGTTTTCTTCTAAATAGAGTTTTTTGAACTCATATCCAAAGCTCAAAGTAACAGAGCAGATGACCAACGTGGGCTGCTAAGGAAAGAAGACCTTGTTCTACCCGCTTTTCTTCGTTTACCTCCCAGTGATCCAGAACCACCCTCATCTACACCAGTGAGCTCTAAAGGCCTTAGCAAGAGAATTGCAAAAAATGATGGCAAGGATAAATGTACACAGCCAAGTGGGAAACTGGAGATTACGCAAAACTGTAATGAAAATTCAATTAAGAAAACAGGTCATTCAGAAAATAAACATAAGTCTGCTTTGACAACGCTCAACAGTCAGAAGACTTACAATGTTCCTTTTAGTGCTCCATTGTCTCCAATTCCACATGTACAGGAAAACAATATGACAATATGGAAAAGGCAATCAGGAGAATTACAGGCTGAAGGCATACAGACTATAGATGATGAAAATGTAGCAGACTTGACTCTTGTGGCTGAAGGAGATATTAGTAGCCCTAACAGCACCTTACTGCCGCCACCACCAACACCACTATCAGACATCAGTAAACTCACAGAAGCCAACTATCCACCGCCAACTCCACTGGCAGGTAATCAGGAAAATTCTGGATATCAAAGATCCAATTCAGGTATTTCTAGTTTTTAATAGCCTTTCCTTTTATGTAAAATTATCTTCCCTTTATATTGTTTATCACTAAAACAAACAAACAAAACTATCGCTGCACCTTACATTTTAATTTTAAATAAGTTTTATTGCTTTATTCACTGTTAAGTTACATTTCTGGTTGCCTCCAAAACATATTTTTGTTTGGACTGAGTACGTTTGTGCTAAACAAAATGCAAGCCTTCAAATGACCATTTAGTGTGAGACTTTAATGCACACATTAAAAAACAAACACAATATTTGTTATAATTAAAACAACAAGGAGTCTGGTGGTACCTTAGAGACTAACAGATTTATTTGGGCAAAAGCTTTCATGGGTAAAAAACACTTCTTCAGATGCATGATGGTGTTTTTTTATCCATCTTCAGTGGTTTTTTACCCACGAAAGCTTATGCCCAAATAAGTCTGTTAGTCTTTAAGGTGCCACCAGACACCTTGTTGTTTTTGTGGATACAGACTAACACAGCTACCCCTCTGATGCTATAATTCAGTAATTTACTGTTTACTCTCATACATCACACAATAGTTAAATATCAATATCTGACCTGCTTACCAGTGACTCAGTCCACATTTTCTGAACCATTAGTAACAATGAGACTAAATCATTAGGGTTTTTAGTATCACAAGTTTAATGATTTCCCCCCACACACACCAATTTTTTTTTTTTTTTTAAACATTTGGAAGTTCTGGTGCTGTAGGAAGAACTCTAAATATATATCAAAAACTGCAGCACTGTTTACAGTAAAAAGAAACAGGATAAATCTTGAATATTTTTAATCTTTATCTAATAAATTATATTTTTATCTAAAAATATAACCCATACACCATTTCTTTTTCTCCTTTGGTACCCAAAGTAGTAGATTGCATCTAAAACATAATTCCCAAAGCTTTCATATTTGAAACAGCTTTTTCTAGCAGACCATTTTTAAGAAAATGGAGGACATTAGAATGTAAGTTTCAGCAATATCATGGATCATTATTATTCCTCATAAACATGAACTCATAATAATTGCTATTACCAGAAACAAGAAGTGGTAGATTATGAGTGTTGTGGCATTTACATTTTACAGTCATTGTACTGTACTCTTTAATGAAAAATATGAGAAAAGGTGTCTGTGCTAAAGTTATTTTTGATGTTTCAGTGCCATGATTTGTTTCACATTTCTTTGTGATGTGAAAATATACATTTGAATTATTTATCTTTTTACAGAGAGTATTTAATCCTATTTCTTATCTGTACTGCCAATGAATTGTAAATATTTATTTGATTGTTACATGCTTACAAATGGCAATATGAACTATTGCATCCTGCTGCTCTTAACAAAACAAACTCTATCTTAATAGTATTTGCAAAATGTTCTATAAATGCTACCACTTTAATTCTTTAAATTAGATTTTAAACAGACTTGTAATCCAGATGCGTCCATAAGAGAACACACAAAGTGTATTTAGGACATGTTTATGTACATATTTATATATCTGTGTCAGTGTCCTTTTGATGAGTGTACAAGATGGAATTCAATTTGCATCCTTTTCAATGGGAGCTGATATAAGAACATTTGCACTTAAAAACATTATGAATTTTCAGTATTTTAATGCATGCCATACATTTCTGTGTAACTGCTGTACTTTCACTTTTCTTACTTTCTACTTTCACTTTGTAGAGATCTTTATGTAGTTTTCACATGTATTTTGTATCTTTGTTCTTTCAGGAGTAATAAATTCTATACCTACTTATACAAGACTGGTTTTAAGCTTTGATTTTCTTCATTATTTTAAAAATATTCTGTCTTTGTAGAAACGTAAAGGCCTAATTTAACAGATCGAATGCAATTAAAATGTAAATATTACATTAACCTTAATATATTTTAAATGTCCTAATATTGGTTCATCTATTTAACATAGTGGTATCGGTTCAGATCTTGTAACATACATATTAACAAAATTACAATGAGACAAACTTGACAGTAGAGAAATTATGAGGAGAAAATTTAATATCCTAAATACAGGCCCTTTAAATAGGGCCAGATGTTGCATTTAGATTCTGGCAGCTCCCATTGAAATCAATGGCAGCTGCAGGCACACATATACAGACAGATAAGAGAGCAGATTGGTCTGTAGTACTTATACAGTGTGGGTAGTATGTCTATTGCAATTAAAGTAAACCATGTTATAATTTGAAAAACAAAGTATTTAAATCTTAGAAATCTTTACTTCTCAAATTCCTTGTTTCCTTTTGTCACATACAAAGTGTATTTTGATTCTTTGAGTAAGAACAACGACGACTTGGAATAATAGTAACAACACTGAATTCTCTGAAAAGAGATTCTTTTCTGTCTTTGGGTTCACGGGCTAATCCTTGTACTCAACCATTTCTTTTTCTTACTCTGTAAGAGTCACCAATGTTTCATTGGTCTCTGAAGTGAATTGGTGTTCTCAGTTCAGTTCTAAGTAGAACCACCAACATAATGGCCCCTTCATTTGGCAATCTCAGCTACTGAGACTGAACTATCCTTTTCACTTCTAGAGCTGGGCTCTCCACAGCAGGATTGCAAAGCCTGTTGGAGCACTTATTTTTTAACCTTTTTTGTGGACTGAGGCCTCCATTTTTCCCAATTTGTCAGTATATTCACTTACAGTTGTTGGTCTCTATGAAAGAAAACAAAGCCCTTTTTAACCCGTTGTTGCAATTCCCTGTATGAAGGCAGAGACAGACTTTTTAACAACAGATAACTAATAATCTCCCTGTGGAATTACACCAGAATGTAAAGATTTTCATTTTTATTCTGAGGACAAGTGATCATGTACTTTACCTTTGTGTCACAGGCACCATTGAGAGCTTTTGCCATAATTAAATATGATAGCTTTACACAATTAAATGGAAGCCCTATAAAAATAATCTTAAATTTAAAAAGTACTTTTCATCTCAAAGGTCCAAAGCACTTAATAAAATAATGTGCACACTATAGACCAGTATGGGGATCATTTCATCCCCACTGAAAGGCAGCCATCTCTGGGATGTCTAACAGCTTACAATCCTATTCCCCAACAGCGTAGGACTGTTTCCAGATGAAACTATAGAAGTAATTTGAGGCATACAGAATGCAAATAGCTAGGGCATCAAGGTAAACCCCACTAAGAAGAGTGCCATGGTATATTTAATGATCACAGTGGAAGATCCTCTGATTTAAGTCACATCTGAAATATGGTCCCTCCAGCAGCATATTGGTTCAGTACGGACTCAGAGACTAGGAGACCATCTACAAAATCACCAGTATTAAAAGCCACACCTTGAAGCTACCGTTTTTCTGACCAAAAAGAATTGGATTCTGGTGCCAGTCAAAGCCACTAAGTAATTACGGTAGTTATAGGAATTGTGCCACACAATTTATGTGCTCCTTCTGCTCACAAAACTTGTAGTTAAACAATGTAAAACGTTTTGGAGCAGATCATCGGCTGGTGTAAATCAGCACAGCAGATTGAAGTAAATGGCACTTCTCCTATTTACACTAGCTGAGGATCCTCCCTCCCTAACCTCAGAGATGGAATGCACTAGTTCCCAGTCCTGGCTGGTTTGAGAGTCAGCAAGGTACTTTAAATTTTGCTCTGTTTTATCATATAGCATTGCAGGAGGTCGTGACTATGCCAACAATCCCTAAAATATTTTAATTAGGGTTATGCTTCCTCAAAGTATTATACCCTGAGCATTATACCATGTGTTTGGCGGGTAGATCCTTTTCTAAAATGTCCAAATTATGTTCAGTTACCTTGTGTATGTGTGCACTTGGTCAAATATTTACTCCTGGGGGAATTCTGTGCCCCAAAATTAAAAATTCTGCACACAATATTTTAAAATTCTCCAAAATTCTGCATATTTTATTTGTTAAAATAACATAATATAATCATTCCAGTTTAAATTATTTTGATAATTTATTTCAAAATACCTGTCAACAAGTATGTCAACAATACAGACAACAGCAAAAAAAATCCCCTCAGGAGTAGAGAATTAAAGAAATCCCTACAACAACCCAGTTCCAGCTGGAGGGAGCTGTGTCAGGCCCCCAGAACCCAGACACCTGAACTCCCATCCCTCCAGAGCGCAGATGCAGGGCACCCCCTGGCCCAGACACTTACACCCCTTTTCCCCCAGATCCCGGCCATGGGGCACCCCCAGTCCAGACACCCACACACCCCTCCCGCCAGAGCCCAGCCATGGGGAACTCCCCAGACACGAGCCCCCAGACACCAGGCCCCCCCTACAGAGCCCAGACACCAGCACCCCCAGAGCCTTTACTCCCCCACAGCTTCTTTACTGTCCCACAGGGAACATGATGTGTTGTGGCCCTGCCTTTCCTCACCCAGCTATCTTATTCTTAAACACAATTGCTCTTCTAGAATCATACTAACATAGGGCTGCAATAAACCTTGAGAGATCATGTAGTTTATCCCCCTGCAAAGAGGCAGGACCAAGTATGCATAGAGCACCCCTGACAGGTGTTTGTCTAACCTGTTCTTAAAAATCTCCAATGACAGGGATTCTACAACTTCTCTCGGTAAGCTATTCCAGTGCTTAACTGTCCTGATAGTTAGAAAGGTTTTCCTAATATCTAACAAGAATGATTAAAGATCTTGAGAACATGACCTATGAAGGAAGGCTGAAAGAATTGGGTTTGTTTAGTTTGGAAAAGAGAAGACTGAGAGGGGACATGATAGCAGTTTTCAGGTATCTAAAAGGGTGTCATAAGGAGGAGAGAGAAAACTTGTTCACCTTAGCCTCTAAGGATAGAACAAGAAGCAATGGGCTTAAACTGCAGCAAGGGAGGTTTAGGTTGGACATTAGGAAAAAGTTCCTAACTGTCAGGGTGGTTAAACACTGGAATAAACTGTCTAGGGAAGTTGTGGAAACTCCATCTCTGGAGATATTTAAGAGTAGGTTAGATAAATGTCTATCAGGGATGGTCTAGACAGTATTTGGTCCTGCCATGAGGGCAGGGGACTGGACTCGATGACCTCTTGAGGTCCCTTCCAGTCCTAGAATCTATGAATCTATAAACCTAAATCTTCCTTGCTGCAGATTAAGCCAATTACTTCTTGCCCTACATTCAGTGGACTTTGAGAACAGTTACAGACCAGCCCTCTTTATTACAGCCCTTAATATATTTGAAGACTGTTATCAGGTCCTCCCTCAGTCTTCTTTTCTCAAGACTAATAAACATACTTATTTTTTTAACCTTTCCTTATAGGTCAGTTTTCTAAGCCATTTATCATTTTGATTGCTCTCCTCTGGATTCTTTCCAGTTTGTCCACATCTTTCTTGAAGAGTGGCACCCAAAACTGGAGATTGTACTCCAGCTGAAGCCTAACCAGTGATAAATAAAGCAGAACAATTACCTCCCATGCTTACATCTAACGCTCCTGTTCATGCACCGTAGAATATTAGACTTTTTTGTAACTGCATCACATTGTTGACTCGTATTCAAATTGTGACCCACTATAAACCCCAGATTTGTTTCAGTAGTACTACTACCTAGCCCAGTGGTCCCCAAACTCTTCAGGGTTGCGTCCGCCTTACTCTGTCATTCTTCTGCCCCCACCACCCTGGGGCCCAGAGTGGGGCTGCAGCTCCAGAAAGGGGAAGAACATGTACAGGAGTAAGGGGACCGAGGCTGGGCGTGGGGTGGGGCCAGGGCTCCGGGCGTAGGACCGGCAGCTGGGACCAGGGCCAGGAGCGGAGCTGGGTGGTGCTCTCTGCCTGCACCCTGTGGGGGCTGGCCTGAGCCCCAGCCGCGTCCCCCCCCCGAATATTCCTCCATGCCCCCCAAAGGATGCACGCCCCACAGTTTGGGGACCTCTGACCTAGCCAGTAATTTCCCATTTTGTAGTTGTGCATTTAATTTTTTTTCCTAAGTGTAGTACTTCGCACTTATCTTTATTGAATTTCATCTTGTTGATTTCGGACCAATTCTCCAGTTTATCGAGGTCATTTTGAATTCTAATCCTATCCTCCAAAGTGTTTACAATCCCTCCCAGCTTGGTGTCATCTGAAAATGTTACAAGGCTACTCTCCACTCCACTATCCAAGTTATTAATGAAAATATTGACTAGCACTGGACCCAGCACAGACACCTGCAGGACCCCACTAGATACATCCTCCCAGTTTGAAAGCAACTAATCTTTGAGTGTGGTTTTCAGCCAGTTGTGCATCTACCTTATAGTTATTCCTTCTAAACCACATTTTCCTACTTTCCTACTGTGTCAAAAGTTTTACTAAAATCAAGATATACCACAGGTATTGCTTCCCCCACCATTCACTAGGCCATTATCCCTGTCAAAGAAGGAAATTAGATTGGTTTGGCATGATTTGCACTTGACAAATCCATGTTGGCTATTACTTATCATCCTCTATGGGGTTACAAATTGATTGTTAAATAATTTGTTCCCGTATCTTTACAGGTATCAAAGTTATTCAGACTGATCTATGATTCCTTTTTGTTCCCCTATTTAAAGATATGTACTGTGTTTACACTTCTCCAGCCCTCTGAGACCTCACCCATCCTTTGTGAGTTCTGAAAGATAATTGCTAATGGCTTGGAGATTGCTTCAGCTAGCTCCTTAAGTACCCTTCCCTGAATTTTGTCAGGCCCTGCTGATTTGAATACATTTAACTTATCTAAATAGTCTTTAACCCGTTCCTTCCCTGTTCTGGCATGTATTTCTTCCCTCTTGATGTTAATATTAATTGTGTTATGCACATAGACACAATTAACCTTTCTAGTGAAGACTGAAACAAAATCGGTATTAAACTCCTCAATCTACTTGATGTCATTCATAGGTCTGCTTCACTGCTAAATAGTAGACGTGCATTTTTCTTTGTCTTTCTCTTGCTCCTAGTGTATTTGTAGACCCTCTTCTTTTTGCCTTTTTCTATCCCTTGCTAGGTGTAACTCATTGTGTTTCTTATTCTTTCTGATGGTGTCTCTGCATGCTTGTGCTATTCTTTTGTACCCATCCTTAGCAATTTGTCCATGTTTCCACATTTTGTAGGATTCATTTTTGATTTTCAGGTCATTAAAGAGCTCTTGATGCAGCCATATTGGTGTCTTTCTTATGTTTCTTTCCTGTCTTTCCTTCACATCAGGATAGTTAATTGTTTTGCTTTAATATTGTCTCTCTGAGAAACTGCCAGCTCTCCTGAACAACTTTTTCCCTTAGATGTTTTTCCTATGGGACCTTGCATTCCAGTTCTCCAGGTTTGTTAAAGTTTGCTTTTTTGAAGTCCATTCCCCTTACGCTGATTCTGTCACTCCTTTCTTTCCTTAGAATAATTAAATCTATCATTTCATAGCCACTTTCACCCAAGTTGCCTTTCACCTTCCTCCACCTTCTGAAATGAAATATTGTTCCCAACACATTCCAAGAACATATTGAAGATTTTGTGTTTTCCATATTATTTTTCCAACAGATATCTGGGTAGTTAAAGTTCTCACTTCGGGCAAAATCATGTTTATGATATAGTTAAAACATATTTGCTAACATGACACACTTTCCAAGTGTATGCATACCTTTGAAAATCTCAGCCTGAGTGCTCAGCCCAAAGCACTGATTTTGGGCACTGTACAAAATATGTGAGAGACCTAACAGCATGGATGGGGAAGACTTGGGATATGGGAGCACCAGGGGTATAATCATAGAATCATAGGACTGGAAGGGACCTGATAAGATTGCATGATTAATGCCAGAGAATGGACCCAAGCTGTAACAATTCCTTTCAATTGTGGATACTGTTCTCAGTAGCACCTTAATCTTGTATTTTAAGAAATCAGACATAATCAAGAATTGTCAAAAACAATGAGTCCAGTGGCAAGAATTGTCAAGCATTATTCAAACAATTAAGGTGTGTTCCCCCCCCCCCCCATAACAAGCTAGGTTATTTCTCATCCTACTATATGCTACATTGGGTCTTACACTGAAATCTAACAGTCCATAATTGGCAGCTTTCAGCTTAATAGGGTGAATTGCAACTTCTGGGAACAGATATATCTCTAGCTGAATAAAAATAATATCTCAATAAGGTGATAAATGAGGAAATGTTGTCCTCCCATTTTGTTCCATTATTTTTTCCTCCTCTGGCTGATGCTGGAAATGTTGCATCCTTCCTCTTTGGGTTTGCCCCTGCTGGTGTGAAAATTTTGGGGGAGTCAGTAGAGATTCATCCTGGACAATCATTTTTGTATACACTGGATAATGCTAATTACAATGTCTAAACTAAGAAAGATACAGACTAAATTATGGCAAAATTCACCTGAGGAGGTACCAAACTGGCATTTCCCCCCCGTCCTTAATGGTACATACATAAATCTCCCAGTGGAATAGCAGAATACCCTGGTTAACTACTTGCCATGAGGACCTGAGAGGAGAGTTTGCCCAATGTAATTTAAAGACTGTAACTGTTTACAATAAATCAGAAGATACATAATTTTATTATTATTATTCTTTGTTAGGTATGAACCACAGAAAGAAAAAAGATTCACCAGGGGCTGCAGGAAACTTCTGTGAGCAAAGCTCTCACAAAACAAAGACCAACAGAAGCCTTAATCCTCCTGGTGGTAGGGATAATCTTCCCACTTCTGTAAACAGAATAATTGATGTGGATGGAGTTAAACTGGAAGACAGTGGCACACGATCCTGTGATGATTCAGAAGGGAACCTCAGCTTCGAAGGCTGTATCTCTGAACTGAGATCTTGCCAGGGGAGGATGCGGACAGGAGTTTATAGGACATCAGACCTCCCCTCTCTGATTACTGTCAAGAGTGAGAAAAACAAGGGTGCTGAGAATCAATACAAAGCCACTTTTGTTTAAATCTCTATTTTTAATTAACAGCTTCAACATTTTTGCCTGGCATCGTTAGCAATAGAGCTATGCATTATGGGCATGTTCCTGCAAGTCACTCAGTGCTTTCAATTCCTATTGGCTTCAATGGGCGTTTAAAATAGTCAGCACCTCCCAAGGTCAGACCTTGTATGAATTGGAACCTGTATAATGAAAAGTAGTATTTAAACAAAAGAATTGAGATATTTAATTTTGTTTCTGTCACCTAATGGACTTTCTAATGTTGTTTTCCACATCATGGTTCCTGTTGGTACTTTGACCAAATTGGTGAGATTAAAATTCTCATGGCATATAGCCATCCTTTAATGTCTTTGAGAAAGACAGTCATTTTAAGTCCCACCCAGGTTTTTACAGAATGTGGTTTTGGTTTTTCATCTTAATCTTCTAATGTTTTTTCCTAGTCCACAGTATTCCTTGGTGCTGCTAGACTTGTATATTGGATGTGAAGTGTACTATTCATTATTATTTGGACAGCACTGAGACTCTTTGTCTGGCAAATCTTCCTGTCTATTGATAGCATCTGAGAAATCCAGGGGGAGTTCAATCTTGTTATAAAGATTACCTGAGTGGATATATGCATTCTGGCATGCTTTTTACACGGGCAGGAATCCAGATTCAAGAAAGCCATAAAGCTCATTCAGACAGAGCAATAGCAGCTTCTGTAGCTTGCCTTGGTAACATATCCATAGCAGTGATTTATAAAGCAGCTGCATGGAGGTCATCCAAATCTTTACATGGCAATGTTCTCTCTATGTCTGAGAGTTTATTTTAATCTATAATTAAATATTCCTCTTCCTCCTTCTAGGTTAGATTAGAAGATTAGCTAAAAATACCAAACTAGTGAGTAATTATGAAGGAGGAAGAAAGGATTCTTGCCTGTTCTCTGAATTTATTGTCTCTGCAGATCTACACTTGTTCTTCTTTCTTCCCCATTTCTTTTGAGTTAGTAATGACTCTGGGCAGCTGAAAGAGGTATTGAAGAAATGTGAAGCATGGGCCTCTATCAACCTCTATTTGAAACAGTCTTGAATGTATACATTAAGATGCATATCAGTTCACTGCTTTGAATTGATTCTGGGACTCATGAGGCATATTGCATGGCTCCTAGATTGTGGATCTGCAGAGGGAATAAATCTGGAGAACTACAGTTATTGCTAAGTAATCTCTTTTTCATTGCTCCTCCTTCGTGGAGCTTATCATGAATTGTGAACTTTTTCATAACAGGGAAATGCTGTAGCAAATTAATCAGTTTTTAAAGCTCAGATGTATTTGCAATGTCAAAATGCTTAGCAGATTCTTAAGATTATTCAACAGTAATACAAGACCTTCCCAATGTAAAGAATTATGGGCACAGCTCTATTAACTTCAGTGGAGTTTCACCTATTTACACCAGTAGAAACTTTTGCCCTAGGTTTAGGGAACACATTTGCTAACATTAAACCCAGCTCAGTCAATTGTATGCTTTAGATTGTTTACTTTTTTTTAATACAGTTGTTGGTGGATGAGTAATATATACCTGTCATGAAAAACAGCTGTTCCTTAACAAATATCCAAAATTAAAATTGGACTGAGAATCACACTAAAGTTGTGCTGATACTGCAGTATTGTCTACAGTAGGGGAATTGAAAAGCTCAGGGTATTCATAAGGAAATACAGAGACTTTCAACTCTAGATTAGTGATTCAAATCTGACCTGTGCCAGTGGTGGTGGAAAGCTATCATCGGACTGTAAATGAAGTGAGTTGGTTATGGGAGTCCAGTTCCCTGTGGCTAGATGGCTACATCACAGAAACCCACCATATTTGGCAGTAAGTGCAGTCATCCTGGCAGGGACTGAATAGGCACTGAGCCTGAAGGAACTTCTTATCCCTATTGTAGCCTATAGGTATAGATATTTGCTAGATGAGGCATAGGTATAAGTTAAGGCAATAATGCAATGAGCCTACAAGCTGTTATAAACTAGCATCTGGTGGTTACTTGTCAACACTATAGAGTAGGTAGTTACTGTGGTTAAAGGACATTGGTGATGCAGTATGGGGGAGCTTTCCCTGCTGGTATTCAGCTGCTACTTGTTCTGTGGCTAAATGAAGGACATAAGTCTTCAATGTTTTCATATTGGCTGTAGATTGTAGTCCATAGGATACATTATTCTATATCTTCTTATACTGCATCTATAGGATTAGTATAATTATCTTGAGAGATATTTTAAAACAGCTCTGTATTCTTTAAGATCCATTCCCCATATTGCATCTGTCTTGTGTCATTGACAGCATTATGATACAAATTCACAGCTGCTAGGACAGGTTTTCATCCTTATAAATGTCTATGTTTTCAGCTGAGAGCTTTCGTCTGATCAAAGCAAAGTATCTTCACACGTCAGTAATCCCCAACAAATGGGCTCCTTGCCATCTGCACCTGAACGTGTTGCACCTTGTGGTGTGTCTTTGAAAATCAACGCCTGCCCCAGTGCTGTAGTGAATATTTAAAACTGAAATGCAGTAGTTGGTGTCTATGGTGATTCCTGATCAAAATTTTAGGTGGGACACTGTAACTTGCCTTAGCTCCATGTCTGCTCATCAAAGACCTGATCCTGTAAGTGATCCTCTGTATGCAGAATTCCCATTGAAACCAAAGGGAGTTCTATGACCAAGATCTTAATGACATCTTTGAACATGCCGCCCAGGCCTCTGCTGTCATTACTAGACTTCAGTAGAAACTCAGAGTTATGAACTGACTGGTCAACCACACACCTCATTTGGAATCAGAAGTATGTAATCAGGCAGCAAAGAGAAAAAAAATAAAAAAGAAGCAAATACTGTACACTACAGTACTGTGTTAAACATAAACTACTAAAAAATACAGGGAAAGTTTTTAAAAAAGGTTTGACAAGGTAAGGAAACCGTTTCAGTGCTTGTTTCGTTTAAATTAAGATTTAAAAAAGCAGCATTTTTCTTCTGCATAGTAAAGTTTCAAAGCTGTATTAAGTCGATGTACACCTTTGAAAGACCAATCATAACGTTTTGTTCAGAGTTACGAACATTTCAGAGTTATGAACAACCTCCATTCCCAAGGTGTTCATAACTCTGAGGTTCTACTGTATTCACAGAAGTCCTACTACTTTGCTGTGGAGTCCCCTACTGGAATGTTCACATATGCTCTGTGCCAGGGCATTGGAGCAATTGCCCAGTGTGGATACTTGATTTGAAAGAGCTATTTGGTTAAATTAGAAGTGGGAATGGAGTTATAATATTGGGATGAAGGTGCATTTGTTTCACCCCAGTGGAAAAGCCGTCTTTGTTCATCATAAACCTTTCACCTCTTTTCAAACATAATAATAATTTTAGAAATTAAATAGTTTGCCATTAAAACCTCTCTGTGGCTGCTTAGCTGCTGAGGTGTAAGAAAGATCTGTTGTATTAGATTCTGAGTGCAGCAAACTGGATTTGAAAGAATTGGATATTTAACCCAAGTTCAGAGAAATGAATGATGTAAAAGAAAGCTGCCTTAAAATGGGTTTTCTTAAACGGGGGGGGGAGGGGAAGACACGACAGGACTTGGCAGCATGCCTAGAAAGCACAGGACTGTGAACCAAGGAACTTGGAATACAGGAAAGTAATTCTTCTCTATTTCAGCATTATCATATTCAAAACTGCCCCTGAATATGAGCCACATGTAAACTCCAGCTGTTTAAAAATATGACCCCATACCTTAGGGCTCAAGGCAATATGTTGCTTAATCTTAGAAATAATTAATAATATTAGCTTTACTTTGCAAGATCTGGGAGAATGTAGAAACTAAACCAACACAGTATTACTACTGGAATCAGTTGCCAGGGCTAATGGAGTTAATAAAACAAAATGGATACAGCCAATCCCAGAATGGCATTTTCAAGAGTGATTGTGCTCTGAGCAGTGTCCTACATATTTAACTATTGAGTGATATTATCAACATAATATGGTTTTAAGATGCATTGTTATATTGTGATTTCCACTAAAACTGAGAGCTAGTAGCAATTTTTTTTTAAAAGCAGCTTAATTGATATACTTTTTGATGGCTTAATCCTCTATCTTGTCAATCAATTTTTGAAGACAATCCAGATTATGGACCTTATACTCTTCACTTATGCCAGTTTTACACTGGTGCAGCTCCATTGATTTCAGTGGAGTTATTCCTGTCTTTCCTAACAAGAGTAAATGAGTGCAGAATCTGATCTCTGTTACATTGGTGTACATTTGGAGTAGTTCCACTGACATGATGATGATGTATGTAAGATCAGTATTTAGCCAAGAAGCCTTAAAAATGATGATTCAAGTGAAATCCATATCTATCTATATTTTCACTTAGTTAAAATTAAATTGTTTGTGTAGGGGTTTTTTAATGACTCTCTATCATTTAAATGACAAAAAATAATTTGATTATGATGTTACAGCCCTGATTCAGTCCCCACTTTGGATGATTGCCACTCTGCCATATTGGCCCAAACTTTGGACCCCTCTGCTTTCCAAGCATCTGGATCTGAGCAACTTCCAGGCACTGTGTCTTAGCTGGTTTTAGCTGTGGCCTCTCAGGAACACTTCAAGGGTGCAGACTCCCTTCTTTGAATGTGGGACACTGTGGTCCAACTGCCTTTTGCCCTGTGCTGAACCCCCCAAAAGTGTACCACTAGCTTATGCATGCTCTCCTAGAGTCCACCACCATCAGCACTCCAGAGTATAGTTTAACTCTTTGAGGACCATGTGACGGTTAAAGTAAGGAACACACAAGCTTTGCAAAAGAACTTCTTGTACACTTGTCTCTCAAACAGCACAAGAGAGTTACTGATCTATACAAAACAACAAACACCAGAACACATTTCCCTCTCTCAGAGACCTCGCCATTTCTGAGTCTTTTGGATTCTATTTGGTGTCTTTCGGGGAGTAAGATCCCTTTTGCCACATTCCTCCTTGATGAGTCTTTTGGTTCTGAGAGTGG